CCATCTTCCTGGACCCTCCAAGTAAAGGAGGTTTCTTCCCCGCGCGCTTTTCTCCACTCACCAGAAGACATTTTTCACACCCGTGGTGTTCTTGGGCTGAGCCCAAGACCCTGGGCTTGTCCCACACCCTACCACAAGGCCACACCCCATCAGTGGCCCCTCAAAGGTCCTGTCTAGCATGAATTTCCATGTGTCCTCGGAAGGAAGGGACAGACATGAAGGCTTTCCCACTCTGCTGGCACTCATAGGGCTCCCCCCAGTGCGTGTCCTCGCGTGGATGTGGAGGGGTACCGACAACCCAAAGGCCCTCCCGCACTCTGCACAGGTGTGTGGTTTCGCCCCACTGTGCATCTTCAGGTGCGTCTGGAAGCAGGCCTGGCAGCTGAAGGTTTTCCCACACTCCTCACACAGGCGGGACTCAAGCAGGCACGTGTCCTCGAGTGCGTCTTCCAGGATGCGGGATGCGGGAAGGCTCTGCCACACTTCTTGCATTCGTCGGGCTTCTCCTTACTGTGTGACCTTGTATGTCTCTCTGAGGGCTGAGTAGCGAGAGAAGGCTTTGCCACGGTGCTGACAAACGTGTGGCTTCTCTCCAATGTGTGCCATGTGGTTCGGAAAGATGAGTGACAGCTAAGGGCTTTCCCACAGTCTTTACTCCTGGAGCCGCTCTCCAGTGCGCAGCCTCCAACCTCGTGTGATCACAGAAGCTGAAAGGGGATCTGAAGGCTTTCCTACAGTCCTTACACGCAGCGGGTCGTTGCCCGGTGTGTGTCCACGTGTTGTTTAAGATAGGAGTAGAAACTGAAAGCCTTCCCACACGTGTCCCAAGCATGACTTTCTCTCCCCTGGGACTTCTCATATGTCCCTTAAAGGAGGAGGAACAGGAGAAAACAGTCGCACAGTTTGTACCTTTGTCCCACTAGGAGTTTGTCTGGTTTTCTCAGAAGTCTCCCATTGTTATCACAGCGACAACAGCAGGCTCTCCCACGGCCCTCATGGGGATGCCACGAGTGTGCTGAAAGGCTCTTTCTGGCTCTTGGAGGCTTTCCTGGGCCTCCTGCCTTCACTGGCTCTGCCTCCAGTTGGAACACTTCAGGACACACAGCAGGACCCTCAGCCTGGAGCCACCATCATCTTGACGGAGTCTGTCCACCAAAGGACTGCCATTCAAAGTGAGAACAGCTAACAAGTCATTGGGGATTACAAATAACCTCAATATTCAAAGTTTAGTTTAAAATCGTGTCTTGTGCCAGGCAGTGCTGGTACACGTCATTAATCCCAGCACTTGCGAGGCAGAGGCAAACAGATCTCTGTCCAGGGCCAGCCTGGTCTACAGAATGAGTTTCAGGACAACCAGGGCTACTCAGAGAAACCCTGTCTCAAAAACAAAACAAATAATTAACAAAACAAAACAGTGTCTTGCTTTGCTATGTGACCTCAGACTCTGATTTCCCCCAAGTCTTCCTGAGCTCCAGGAGAGCAGGTGTGTGCTACTTCCTCACACAGCCTACTGATCTGCGCCTGATGGTTATTCTCGGTCACAGACTAGATACTCTTGCAGCACTGTCTGCCTTGGTATCTAGTTTCTAAAAACAGAGAGGTAAAGCCAGGTGGTACCTTTAATACCAGCGCTCAGGAGGCAGAGGCAGGTGGATCTTCATGAGTTAGAGGCCAGCCTGGTCTACAGAGTGAGTTCCAGGACAGCCAGGGTTATACAAAGAAACCCTGTCTTCAAAAAACAAAACGAAACGAAACAAAAACAGAAAATACTCTGTGCATACATATTTGCATTATTTTAAAAAAAAACACTTGTATTGGCTGGAGAAGACAGCATCGTGGGTAAAGGCACCTACAGTAAAGGCTGGCCTGAGTGCAGCCCTCGCAGACACATATAGTTTGTTTGCGGTTTTTGGTTGTTTGGTTTGTTTTTTTTTTAAATATTTATTTATTTATTTATTCATTATGGATACAATATTCTGTCTGTGTGTATGTCTGCAGGCCAGAAGAGGGCACCAAACTCCATTACAGATGGTTGTGAGCCACCATGTGGTTGCCGGGGATTGAACTCAGGACCTTTGGAAGAGCAGGCAATGCTCTTAACCACTGAGCCATCTCTCCAGCCCTGGTTTGGTTTTTCGAGACACAGTTTCTCTGTAACTTTGGAGCCTGTCCTGGAACTCTCTCTGTAGACAAGTTGGCCTCGAACTCACAGAGATCCACCTGCCTCTGCCTCCCGAGTGCTGGGATTAAAGGCGTGCGCCACCACCGCCCAGCTTAGTGCATACAGAAGTAATTTTTTTAAACATTGTGGTTTTTCTTTTCTTTTTTAATATTTATTTATTATGTATACAATATTCTGTTTGTGTGTATGTCTGCAGGCCAGAAGAGGGCACCAGACCTCATCACAGACGGTTGTGAGCCACCATGTGGTTGCTGGGAATTGAACTCAGGACCTTTGGAAGAGCGGGCAATGCTCTTAACCGCTGAGCCATCTCTCCAGCCCCTGCAGAAGTAATTTTATTAGAGAAAACAAAACAAAAGATAGATCCTCATTGCTGAAAGCCAGGACCGAACCAGGGACCCCTAGATGTTCAGTCTGACCCTCTCCTAACTGAGCTATTTCAGCTTCCTGCTTGTGTTCTGAGACAGGGTCTCTCTATATAGCCTTGCTTTGCCTGAAACTCACTCTGTAGACCAGGCTGACCTCGAACTCACAGAGATGATCCACCTGCCTCTGCCTCCCAAGTGCTGGGATTAAAGGCAAATGCCACCACACCCATTGCCCAGGCCTCCTGGGATTACATTTTGAATCCATCAAGTGTTAATTAAAGCATTCACTGGCTGGTTTTGTGTCAACTTGACACAAGCTAAAGTCATCAGAGGACTCAGCTGAGGAAAACCTCCATGAGATCCAGCTGTAAGGCATTTTCTCAATTAGTGATCAATACAGGAGGGCTCAGCCCACGCTGGGTGGTGCCACTGTCTTCACCTAGACCCTGGGGATCTGAAACAGCTCCAAGACCACCCTGACCAAGAAATGACAAAACAAGGAAAACCAGACCCCCCTCTTCTCCTGCCACAGGAAAAGGCGCCCCGGGGCAGTGAGGGGGCCAGCGCAGTTTGGTGGGAGAGTGCTTGCCTACTGAGAGTCAGGTCCTCAGCTCTATCTCCACTACAGAGAATGGGGAGAGAGAAGATGCAGAGGGGAGAGGAGGAGGGGCGGGGCCATAAAGGACCTCCCTCACATTGCTAGAGTGCCTACAGACAAAACTTATGACTGCAGATGAAGGGAAATCAAGTGTTGGGCCTGGGGAGTCGGACCTACCTGTAAGGGACATGCCACTCAGGCAAGAGGACCTGAGTTCAGTCCCTGGTGCAGAGGAGGATCTGAGAGCGATCGCTGGCCCTGGCCCAGAAGACAAGTTAGGGCGCATTAAGAAAGGGGGCGCTGTGGGCTGGAGAGATGGGTCAGCGATTAAGATCACCGACTGCTCTTCAAGAGGACTCAGGTTCAATCCCCAGCACCTACATGGACACTCACAGCTGTTTGTAACTCCAGTTCCCATGGGTCTGATTCCCTTATATATACATGCAGGCACAACACCAATGCACATAAAGTAAAAATAAATAATGTTTTAAAGAAAGGGAGGGCCGGGCGCTGGTGGTGCACGCCTTTAATCCCAGCACTCAGGAGGCAGAGGCAGACAGATCTCTGTGAGTTCGAGGCCTGGTCTACAAGAGCTAGTTCCAGGACAGCCAGGGCCACACAGAGAAACCCCCAACAGGGTTTCTAAACCCTGTACCTAACAGGTACCTAAACAGGGTAGAGCCCCCCCCCTCTAGAATCCCTCAGTGTACGGCTGGGGGCGTGGTCAGGGGTAGAGCCCCTTCTTCTGCTAGTGATGAAGCATGGAATGCACTACTGTGCTCAGTACAACAGGGGTCAAAGGGAAGTCCTGCACTCTCTTGACCTGGAAGTGACCTCCCACAAGCAGATGAACGGTGCCCTGATTCCTTCCTTCCTAGCGGACCCAGGACAAGGTCAGTCCCCGCCAAGTCCACATTCACTCCCCTGTGAGTCTGGACCACTTGTTCCAGTGTTCACCTAGACTAGGTTGTTCAGTGGTCACTCAACTGATGGTTTTGGTCACCCGAGGCTCCTCGTGAAAAAAGGCTGGTGGCAGGTCACAGTGTGAGCTGCAGCCTCTCCTAGCCCTAGGTAACCCTTCCCATACAAGAGAACTTTTTTGTTTTGTTTTGTTTTTTGAGACAGGGTTTCTCTGTAGCTCTGGGATCTGTCCTGGAACTAGCTCTGTAGACCAGGCTGGCCTTGAACTCACGGAGATTCCCCTGCCTCTGCCTCCTGAGTGCTGGTTATTAAAGGCATGCACCGCCACCGCCCACCCCGAAGAGAAGTCTTCTTAACTAGGCGTGTGAGCATAAAACATTCTCAACTTTTGTCGGTTCCCACCACCACTCTCTGTTACTCTGGATTCGCCTCCGTGGCCTGTCCCTATGGTCAAAGTGCCCTGTTCTCGAAGACCAGTTCTTTCTAGTAATTTAGTAATTTATTCTTGTGGCCCAGACTGACTTTGAACTTGTGGCAATCCCACTGCCTCAGAATTGCTACTGCTGGGATGCTCTGCACACATTCGTTTTTGCCGCGTTTCCCAATCCTTTTGTCCCACACAGTGGCCTCAGAGCCGATTCCTGGCCACGATGCCCGTGGTGTCCCCTCCAGCGGCCCACACTCATCATCCTCCGCGAGGCCCGGGTCAGTTTAGCTGCTTGTGAAGCGACTGATAGCTGCAGCCGCGACGCCCCGCCTCCGGGCTCTGATTGGACAAATCATATGACCCTCTAACTAGACTGTGTTGTGATTGGGTGGCTCTCCTAGAATCCGCCCTTCGGGACCTGACTGACAGATGCTGCACTCAGCTCCTAAACCAGTCCTCCCTTGCCACGCCCCTGCAGCTTGATTGGCAGCCCTTTGCTGGCGCCTGATCATTGCAACTGAGCCAATCTGGTGGCCACTCGGCGCCCCCTTCCCGACTGTTTCCCACTCAGATATGGCCATGAAGGGATTGGACAAGGCAGGGTTCCTGTGATGCACCAGGTATTTCCATAGGCCTCTCACCGCGGCACGCAGGAGGTGGAGGCAGGAGGACTAGGGTTTGAGGACAGTCCAGGCCACACAGAGGGACACTTCCAACGCCCGCAGGCCACAGCACGGACTACCTGACTTTTAGGGTTACTTAAACCTCAAGTGAGCAGGGGAGAGCCAGTGGGAGAGACACTGTCCCGCAGTGCGATACTCTGGGTTCGATCCCCAAACCCAGAAACGAGTAACGTGGACCCACGCAGTCAATTGCCACTTGGCCTCAAGGATACAGCGGTGGGGTTCGGTCAGTGGTGAAAAGGGGCTCCAGAGGACGGATAGCCAGGGTTACCTTGGTCTCCACGCGCGCGTAAGTCACTTGCCTGGACCACGGTTGACTCCCCGAAATACAGAGACTCACCAGTGACATAGAACCCGCACACATCCTTCCCCGGACTTCATTGCGGCTCTATTGGGGGGGGGGGGGGGAAGAAGAGGCAAAGAAAATATTACACCAAGCCGGGCGTGGTGGCGCACGCCTTTAATCGCGCCTTCGGGAGGTGGCTCTCTGTGAGTTCGAGGCCAGCCTGGTCTACCACTGTGAGTTCCAGGACAGGCTCTCCTACCACCATGTGGGTCCCAGGGCTTGAACTCAGTTCGTCACGCTAGACAGCAAACACCTTAGTCCACTGAGCCTACTGCAGGCTTTTATTTTTCAATGTTTTTGTGGCTCTGTGGGGACCCATATATTTTGCCCTGCAAGGACACTGTACCCCGCACCCTAATCCAAAGTCACGACCTCCCGAGCTCTCAAACGACTACTCTTTACAACCAAATCCGCAGCCGGTGACTACCACAGCGCATTCTGGGCTTTGGCACCTCGGCCAGAGGAAGATGACTTTGGGTCAAGAGCCCGGTTGCGAAAGCGACTAAGACGGTGGCGACAGAGCACCATATTGCATTTCCGGACATCTTTCAGTCGCCCCAATATCCAATTCCAGCCAATCTCAGGATCCTGTCCCGGTTTTCTTCCCAGAACAGGAAGTCGACCACGGAATTGGTAACTATAGCAGGTGGGCTGGACCGCTCCGTCCTCCCGGAGCCGCCAGTGCCCACCTCTACTCAAATGCGATTGGATAGCGCCGCTGTCAAAATGCGATGGCGGGCGGGGCTTAGCTTTGACACCGCACAGCGGGTCTTTCCTGGATGCCCGGATGCTCCGGTCTCCAATGACCGGGTCCGCTAGCTGGGCTAGAGGGCTCGGCGGTGGGGATGCTCGCAGCCAAGCCTGAGAGCCCCAGTTCGATTCCCAGGTCGGAGAAGTGGGGTCCCGCGCCCCGCAGGTGCTGATTCTGACGTCCATCGTGTTCTCTGCAGCTGTCCACCCACACGTGTATTCAAATAGACTGATGAGGCTGTAGAGATGCTCCGCAGTTAGCGGTCCGCTACCCCCGCAGAGGACCCCGCGGGCTCAGGACCGCCTGACTCCAGTCCTGGGCAGCCGACGCCCCCTCTCGGCCTCCGCGGGTACTGCATGCTGTGCACATGCTCAGATGCAGTGCTGCGGGCCCTGGAACGCATTCCTCCTGAGTGGTATTTCTTTCAAACGCTTTCAACATTCTCTCTCTTTCACTCTCTGTCTCTCTCTCCTTCACTTTGTTTCTTCATTTTAATTTTATTCTTTGTTTGAGACAGAGTCTCACTCTGTAGCCCAAGTTGGCCTCAGACTCACAGATTCCCCTACCTTTGTTTCTAGTACCTGAAAGACAGGTGAAGTCTCTGCAAGCCCTACAATCAGAGCCCCATCCCTCCCCCACCCTCTCCGCCCCACCCCCAGCCCGCCCCACTCCTCACCCACCCCCAGCCCACTGCCACACTTCTCATCCACCCCCAGCCCACTGCCACACTTCTCATCCACCCGCAGCCCGCCCCACTCCTCACCCACCTCCAGCCCCTTTCTCGGCTCTGGAAGCCTGCGGTGCCCGGCTGCTGACAGCAGATGGCGACCGTGCTCGCCTGCGCGCGCCGCCGCTATCCCCGCAAAGCTTCCCAAAGGAACAGCCGCGACCTCCACACCCCCACTGAGGTCTGCGGTGACAACCGGGGTCACTCAACGCAAGACACCCTAAAGCGCTTGTGTGTCTCTAAGGAATATTCAACCAACCGTTTACTCCCCAGACGACAGCCGGGAGCCTGAGAAGATGAAGCAAAGCCTCGGACTCTGGACCGCTGCGGGGAGTGTGGGTGACAAACCCGCCTTGAGGGGCGACACGCCAGCCTCGCTGTTTTCCTTCACCTCCACCCTGCCCACCTGTCTGACCCCTCGCCTTGCCTCTCAAATTTCTGTCCTCCGAGAACCCAGCTACAGCAATTCCCAGAAGCTGATGCAGGAGGATCACAAAGTCCTCCTGCATTCTTGTAAGAATAAATTTTAAAATAAAATGGGCTGGGAAGTGGTGGCGCACGCCTTTAACCCCAGCAGTCAGGAGGCAGAGGCAGACGGATCTCCTAGTTCAAGGCCAGCCTGGTCTACGGAGTGAGTTCTAGGACAGCCAGGGCTATACAGGGAAACCCTGTCTTGAAAACCGCAATAAATAAATAAAAATTGTAAGAAAATAAATACAATAAAATAATAAAATGATACAATGGTTTTAAAAATTAAGTAACTCAACAAATGAAATGAAAAAAGACAGACAAAACAATAAATAATCGTGGGGAGCGGGGGAGAATGTCCTGGAGAGATGAATCAGCACTTAGGAGCACTTCCCAGCAGCCCACGACTCCAGCTGCACGCCCTCTTCTGGAGACTGCAGACAACCGCACTCCCATACACACAGCCCTGCAAACACACACACAATTAAAACTCCTTACTTCAATATTAAAAAGTAAGGTTATAAAATAAAGTAAATAAAATAACTAAGTGTGGGGCTGGAGAGATGGCTCAGAGGTTAAGAGCACTGGACTGCTCTTCCAGAGGTCCGGAGTTCAATTCCCAGCAACCATTTGGTGGCTCAGAACCATCTGTAGTGAGATCTGGTGCCCCCTTCTGGCCTGCAGGCATACATGCAGGCAGAATACTGTGTACGTAATAAATAAATCTTAAAATAATAATAATTAAACACAATGAATAGCATATACAACGCCCTGGATCTCTAGTACTGGGGGAAAAAAAACGAAATGGATTTGTCATTAATGCTGGGTAGTGGTGGTTCACGTCTTTAATCCAGCACACAGGAGACAGAGGCAGGCAGATCTCTGAGTCTGAAGCCAACCTGGTCTACAGAGCAAGTTCCAGGACAGCCAGGGCTACACACAGAGAACCCCTGTCTTAGGAGAAAAATTTTCAATTATTTATTTATTTGTCTGTTTATTTATTTATTTGGTTTTCTGAGACAGAGTTCATCTGTGTGTAACCCAGGGTGTCCTGGAGGCTTCAAACTCGGAGATCTGCCTGTCTCTGCCTCCTGGATGCCAGAATTCATTATTTATTCTTATCGTTATTATTTATTGTTTGTTTATTATTAGTAATAGTACTAGTATTGATGTTTTGAGACACAATCGCACTCTGTAGCCAGGCTGGTCTCAAACTCACAGAGATCCTCCGGGCTCCACTTCCCAAGAGCACCACCTCCCCCAACAAAGGAAATGTCGGCACCACGACTGAAGAGTTCTGCAGTAGCAGCTGTGGTGGTGACGCCGTCTCACGTAGTCATAATAGGCATGCGCGCCACACGGTGGGAGAGACTCCTCCACCCCACACCCCCCCACAGGCCGCTTCAGATTGCTGCCCAGCCCCAGGCTCAGGAGCAGGAGATCTATGGTCCTGCCAGGGCCTTGCAGTGACAGTCACGGCTAAAAACAGATAACGACGGCTTGAGGACTGACCTAGCATGCTCAGCAGCCCTGGTCAGGAGCAGGAGAGCGGGCTCAGCAGTTCCCAGCACTGGCTGCTCTTTCAGAGGACCTGGGTTTTGAGTCCCAGCACCTACATGGTGGCTCCAGTTACAGGGGATCAGACACCCTCTTCTGGATTCTGAGTACCAAGCACACATGTAATGCACATGCATGCAAGCAAACATTTATACGCATCAATTAAAATGTTTTCTTTATTATTGTTTTCTGACTGCATGTACACTTGCAGGCCAGAAAAGGGCACCAGATCTCATTACAGATGGTTGTGAGCCACCAAGTGGTTGCTGGGAATTGAACTCAGGACCTCTGGAAGAGCAGTCAGTGCTCTTAACCTCTGAGCCATCTCTCCAGCCCCTTGTTTTTGTTTTTTGAGGCAGGGTTTCTCTGTAAATTAATTTTTTAAAAGATTTATTTATGCCGGGCGGTGGTGGCGCACGCCTTTAATCCCAGCACTTGGGAGGCAGAGGCAGGAGGATCTCTGTGAGTTCGAGACCAGCCTGGTCTACAAGAGCTAGTGTCAGGACAGGCTCCAAAACCACAGAGAAACCCTGTCTCGAAAAACCAAAAAAAAAAAAGATTTATTTATGCATTATGTGTATAGTATTCAGGTCTGAATGTATGGCAGGCCAGACGAGGGCATTACAGATGGTTTCAGCCATCATGTGGTTGCTGGGAATTGAACCCAGGACCTCTGAACGCACTGTGATCTTAACCTCTGAGCCATCTCTCCAGCCCTGTGAATTAATTTTTTAATGAAGGGAAAGTTACTGTGACCTGGGCCTAATTGAGTTACAGTTACTTATTCATGTGTGCGTGCGTGCGTGTGTGCGTGCGTGCGTGCGTGCATGCGTGCGTGCGTGCGTGCGTGCGTGTGTGTGGTGAAGGACATTCTCGCCTTCTGCTGTGTGAGGCACAGGGATTGAACTCACGCCAGCAGGCTTGGCAGCAGTCCCCTCACCCACTGAGCCCTCTCACATCCCACTCGTTCTGTTTAGAGCTGCTCTTACTAGGGAGCACAGGCTGGCCCCAAACTCACTGTCATCTCCCTGCCTCCGTGTACACAGAGGTCGCGGTTTAGTTTCACAGCCTTCATCTGTAACTGGAGCGACATGGAAGTGGGGGAAGGGGCTCCAGAGTCCGCTTCACCCCAGGGTCCCCTGTGGAGGGCCAGAATCTGGCTCTGAGGTCCTGCCAGAGTCCAGGGGTTGGCCCCCCTTTCCACCCTTGAATTTGCTATGAGTCTCAGGGCCCCAGGATGGCCTTGAACTCTTTTTTTTGTTTTGTTTTGTTTTGTTTTTTTTTTTTTGTTTTTCGAGACAGGGTTTCTCTGTGGTTTTGGAGCCTGTCCTGGAACTAGCTCTTGTAGAACAGGCTGGCCTCGAACTCACAGAGATCCACCTGCCTCTGCCTCCCGAGTGCTGGGATTAAAGGCGTGCGCCACCACCGCCCGGCGGCCTTGAACTCTTAACCTTCCTGCCTCAGCCTTCCAGTGCTGGTCCGAGTTCAGAAAATGCTGAGGATAGGATCTTGGATGCATGTGTGCCAGCCTGGCTGTGTCCCCCCTCTTCTATTTTCTTAACCTTGCGACTAAGTTGAGTCCTGATCCTCAGGCTTCAATTTGCAGAGGAGCAAGGGCTAGCCTGGGCACACAGGCAGGTCAGTGTCACTTCACAGGACACCCAAAGCCTCGTTTCTCATGGGAAATTTAGGGGGGTGGGTTCTCAAGCTACGATTTCCCACTCCATCAGCACACCCCAGAATTTCAAAAGTGGGCCCTCTGATTTTTTTATTTATTTTTATTTTTTGGAGATTTTTGTTTGGTTGGTTGGTTTTTCGAGACAGGGTCGCTCTGTAACTCTAACTGTTCTGGAACTCGCTCTGTAGACCAGGTTGACCTCAAACTCACAAGAGATCCGTTTGCCTCTGCCTTCAGTGCAAGGATGAGAGGTGTGCGCCACCACCGCCCGGCTTTGATTAATTCTTCTGCATCTTATTTTATGTAGACGGATGTCTTGTCAGCATGTATGTGCGCACCTTGAGTTCAGAGCCTCTGGAACTGGAGTTACAGACCACTGTGAGGCCACCACCTGGGTGCTGGGATCGAACCAGGGTCCTGTGCAAGAGCAGCTTGCTTGACTGACCTCTGTGCTCTCAACTGCTGAATTCTCTCTAGCTCACCCAGATTAAAAGGAAATTTATTCGTGTGTGTGCGAGTGTGTGCGTGTGCGTGTGTGTGTCTTCCAACATGTGGGTCCAACGGATCGAACTCAGATCAAAGGTCTTGGATGCCTCACTGCCACCTGCTGACCCCTCACATGCCCCAAATATTCAGATTTAACCACTCTGAAATCCTCTCCCAGCTTCCAAACGGCACCGGGAATGCGGGGGTTAACCCGAGGCCTGGAACTCCGTGATTGACAGCCGGGCCACAGGCTGAACAATGAGCAGCTGGGATCGCGGGCCACGTGGGCTTGCGGCCTCCTGATTGGCCAGCACCTGCTGAGACGGCTCGTGCAGCCCCGAGCCCACGTGCACCCGTGGCCTGGGCCCTAATGCTTCTCTGTAAGGGTGCAGGTGGGAGCGTGGCTTGGGGCGGGGCCGAGCGGGGCGGGGTCGGAGGGGTCAAATGGCCGGGGGCCCAGCAGGAGGGGCTTCCTCCTGGCCTGAACTTGGCTGACCTCTGTGGCTTCCTCTGGGGTCCCAGGGGCCTCCCCGTCCTCTGAGGTGGTGCGTGGGGAGTTTGCGTGGGTGGGGGAGGAGAGGGAGCTGGAGGGGCGTTGACCCGCACAAAACTGACTTCAGCAGGGAGTTTGCCCATGTTGAGTGATGGGAGAATGAACCAAATGTCGTTTCTCTTTTCTCCTAAGTTCTTTTTTAAAAAATGTTTTCCGTGTGTGCCTGAGTGTTTGTATGTATATATATACCACGTGCATGCTTTATTAGTACGCCTGGCAAACTCTTACTCGTCCCTCAAAACCCTAGGCGACTCACCACATCCATGACTGCTCCCGGTACGCTTTCCTTGGTATCCGAAGGGATGACCACCCCCCCCCCCATGCTTACCTGGGGTCGGTGGTTCTGGAACCGTAGCCCCTGCAGTAAAGATGGGGCTTTGGGGATGCAGAGAGCATGGGGGGGGGGGGATGAAGGAGGAGGCTTCCTCCGCAGCTGGGTCCTGACCCTGGGGAGGCTACAGAGATGGACGGTGGTCGGCTTTTCCGTCTAAACCCGAACCTGCCCTCTGCAGGACTCGCCAGATTTGTTACTTCCACAATCTTCTAGATGACTTCCTACAGCCAGAACAATGGCACCGCTGGTGGAATTTTGGTGAGAGGTGGTGAGGGGCCGCGGGGTGGGGTTGCTTGGGGGTTTTGGAGACCGAGTCTCACGGTGCCAGCCTGGCCTGGAACCCGCAGCAACTCTAGCAGACCTAGCTAGGAAAACAGCCCCGCATAGTGTCTGCACCTGTGACCCCGCTGTGCAGATGAAAATGAGCGGTGAAGCCTGGGCCTGCTTTCCCAATGTCAATCACCTGGACTTCACCGGGTCCAGAAAGCAGGAGTGGGCCTGTCTACTGGGGCCCTGGTCAGGGTGGAGCCCGTCTAGAATCCCCCCCCCCCCAGTGAGAGGCTGGGAGAGTGCGTGGTCAGGGTGCAGTCATGCCTAGTTTGCTGGTCCTATGTTCAGTTAACACTATTCTGTGATTAAAGTTG